GGATCTAGAGTTCATGTGAGATTGTCCCTTCTCATTCCTTATTGAAAAAAGGGAGGGAGAATCATATGCCTTTCGGTTTAGAAACTGTTCTCTGTGCTAAATTGCCACACCTGTCTTTGGCTGATGCCTTAACTTGTAAAATAGACTGCTTCCAATGCTACTAATATAAAGTGAGAATCATTTCCCACAGAAAGCATTTTTTCCAATTTAAATAAAGTATTGTAAATATTAACGTGTAATTCTGTCTTCCTGAAATAAATGTTAGCATTTCTCTCCCAAGCTGCCTTTTTGAACTTGTCTTTAATTGGCAAATATTACTCATGGACACTAGAGATTTAATGAGAGGTTTTCATCTAACAAGGTTCAGTGAACTTAATCAGCACAGGCATGACCTCCCCAGGCTCTGCCCCTCCCGCCATACCTTCAAGCTTTACAGGGAGAGTTGAATCACACAGATAGGGTTTTGTTTGTTGTTTTGTCTTTTGCTGCCCGGAGAAAACTTCTTAGCCCGTACCTACACCTAGGTAGGCTGGTGGCTATTATGAGCGTCTTCAATTCAATAAAACCACAGAGGAAGCAGCTAGTGAGGTTCTACTTGCTGCCATACAAGTGAATCTGTCTGCTAAAACTCAGTTTACTTGTACTTATTTTCAACTTGTCTTCCAGCAGCAAATGAAGAGAATAATCAGTAAAAGAAACACACAACAAAAAACTTAGTTATAATGGCTGAACTTTTTTCTTCCTTTCATTTACTAATTTTTATTTTAATACTTTATTTTGTTTCTCGATACAGGATTTCTCTGTGTAGCCTTGGCTATCCTGGAACTTACTCTGTAAACCAGGCTGGCCTGGGAACTCAGTATCTGCCTGGCCCAGCCTCCAGAGTGCTAGGATTAAAGGTGTGTGCCACCACACCTGAATATTACTAATTTTATTTAACCTGATTATTAAAAAAAAAAAAAAAAAAAAAAAAGGCTGGGCTGGGGATATGGCTCAGTGGTTAAGAGCACATGTTGCTCCTACAAAGGACCCAGGTCTGGTTCCTAGCACCTGCATGGCAGCTCACGACCGTCTGGAACTTTAGTTTCAGGTGATCCAATGCCCTCTTGTGGCCTCCGTAGGCTCCAGGCAGGCACATGGTGCTCACATAAACATGCAGGCAAAAATGCCCATAACACATAAAGTAAAAATAAATGTGAAAATTATTTAAAATGTTGCAAACAAACAAAAAAAAAAAAAAATCCACACACCAAAACTAGCCAGGCCACCTAAACACTATGCAACTCAGTGCTAAGTCTCTACACGACAAACCTTAGAATATTTTGACTTATGATTTTCATTAGACAGGGCTTAAAATCTTTAATTTCTAGTGTTCCTTGAAACAATTACATAACTGCAACAGTTTATGACCCAAGTGTGGTAGCACCTCCCGGCAGCCACATGTACCCATCTAGCTAAACATCCGCCCTGGATTCCTACATTTACCCAGCAGTCTAGGGTTGGAATTTTATTGTTTTAACCTTGTGGCATTTTGTATGTTGGCAGTTTCTTTTCTCCCTATGGATCTGTTTTTACACAGTTTTGCTCCTTTTAACCTGGTGACAGCAATGTGAAATATAGCAGGCCTTTTACTCAGTATTTTTCTAACAAGCCAACCAGGTACAAACAGAATTTTTATGTCATTTGTAAATTTTAGTGAGGGGTGGCTGAACAGAGATGAAAAATAAAAAAAAAAAAAATACACTTGTGTAATATTCAATTCACATCAATTGCTGTGAACCAGACTGTCTTTAATGCTGGGATTACAAATGTGTGCTAGCTAGCAAGAAGCTGAAAGCAATTAATTTTAAAAGGTGGGAGAGTGTGTGGGGGTCATCTGCCACGGATTCAAATACTAACAGATTGAAGTCACAGGAGAGGGCAGACTAAGGCTGGTGTCAGAGCTGAGACTTCAGTGCAGGAAGCTAAGATAAAGCTGCATTACAATTCCTAGGAAAAGACTGAAAAATTGAAGAATTAAGATTCAGGAATCTCTGGTAGGATGAGAGGAATTGGTCAAAGAAAAATACCCTTGAAAACAAGCTTTTGAAATACAGCTAAGTAGGGCTTGGGATCCTTTGTCAGTGGTAGAGTGCTTGTCTGTCATGTTCAAGGCCCTGGGGGTCTATCTGCAGCACCAGCACAAAAGGGAAGTACCGTATTCTAATTCCTACAAGGTCTGGTTCAATCAGTTCTAACTCAATGGGACTTAAGTTAAATTTATTATACCAATCGTAATTAAACTGCTAATAGATTGTTCAGTTTCAGTGTTGCACTGTTTGAGTTAACCAAAATTTAGAAAAATTTTTTTCTTCTTCCAAGATGGTTTCTCTGTAGCCTTGGCTGTCCTGGAGACAGGGTCTCAAGATTTGACTAGCCTTGAACTCAGATCTCTGCTTGACTCTTATCTTACCTGCTGAGTGCTGGCGTTAAAGGCGTGTACCACCATGCACCATGCTTGGTTTAAACATTTTTTTGTGTGTGTTTTTCAAGACAAGGTTTTTCTGGATCCCAGGCTGTCCTGGAACTCACTGTGTAGACCATGCTGGCTTCAATTTCAAGAGCTGCCTAGCCCTGCCTCCTGAGTGCTGGGATTATGGTTGTGTTGAATCCTGGCAGGCACATTGTTAGGTGTTACAAACCCTCCCTGCTTCTAGTGCTATCAGTGTGCCTGTGTGGGGTGGCAGAAAACACCTTTAAATCTTATGCCTGCCAGGACTCAAAAGGCTCTAAAGTCCATTTCTTAGCACAATCCGAGGAGCATTGCCTGCTGTTTGTTCATCTTCCGTCAGCCAACTATCTTAACAGCTGTGGTGTAATTACTGGCATTGCCCTTTTTATTGGTAGCTGGTCAAATTCCTTAAATATCCCAGTTTTTTTTCTTCCAAGCCTCATGGATGCACAAGGCCACAGGCAGATGTTTGCCCTTTACTTGCATAGTGCTATCACTTGAGCAAAATAAACCTTTCCTTGATGCACTGCCTAAAACCTAGACAACTATCACCAAATGCTGAGCAAAATGAAGACCAACAGAAGCTCCACGAAGAGGCAATCTGTCCCAAACAAAACCCATGTGAAGAATCCTTTAGAACCTCCAGATTTATAAGCCTTTCCAAGCAATTGGACATTAGGGTTTAGTAACAAATCTTCCCCAAAAAACCTTATAACCCTGCCCCAGGGAGTCTCAAGTTCCATTGTCTTCTGAACTCACCACCTCCAATCCCAATTTGGCCTTTTGTTGCATTAATACAAACCGCCCTTCAACTTCGACAACCGTGGTCTGGGCACCTCTGTAGTCTGCTCACACTATTCTCAAGCTGTTAAGGCATGAAGACAAACCTTTTTGAAGCTGTCTCCAGTTGTGGCTACCATTTCTCCACTGAGAAGCTGACGGTTTCCCTCTGCCCACAAAAATAACCATGGCAGGCCCATAGGCAGACTTATATTTGCAGCCAGCCTCCCCAATCCCAATTATTTACCAAAGCCAAATCAAGGAAAGCTCAGTCCTCAACCATCTAAACAAGGGGACCCCATTTTATAGTAAACAAGCAAAACAAGAGAAAAATGAGCCAAAAATTTTATTTAATTCATTTCTTGCATTTGAAGTATTCCTCGATGACATCCTTGGCCTGAGATTCTTTGCCATAATCCTTAAAAAAATTAGACTCAAATTAATTTTTTGTATTAAATTCTTATAACTAATCCAGTCTTACTGCTACCCAGCATGACAATACTGTAGCCATTTTCAGGGACCTTAAAGACTGCAGCTGTCCTTAAGGCTCGTAACATGGCATCATTATTGCCAGCTCTTTCTAAATTTCTGCAGAAGCACAATGAGATAAGGCAGATTAATTGGCTGGCTTTCAAAGTATGAATTTAAAGTATAGATTGCTTAAGCCTGTTTTTTAAGGGTTCTCCCTCCCCCCAAATGGGCCCTCAACATTTCAAAAAGATAAAAAGCCAGACTTACCTTAACCACTACACAACTGCAACCAACCACTTTCCGTGGTTTCCCCTCTCGATCGATTTTACAGAGGCCTACCCATTCCCCTAGTTTCTTGTTGTCGTCAACCTACACAAAACAGAAACAATTATTAGCAAGGATTAACTTACTAAATAAAAATGGAAACTCAAACTCCAAAGGTGGCTGTGTCAGAAGGGTGACATGGCAGTTTCCTCATGGCAGTTCAGTAGAGGGAGCCAGTTGTCATCATGTACAGCTACCAATTGTCAACAGTTGCTTCTATTCCGGAGTTACCATGTAGTTCTGATGTACAAAAGCCTCAGATACTATGTACCTTAGCCAGTGCATCAACACCATCACCACAATGGCAAAAAATAAAAACCCTAAATTTACCTTAATCAGGTTGATCTGGTGCTCAGCACAGAGCGCCTCCACCAGCTTGACGTACATGGGCTCATCACAGTTGGATGCAAGCACACAAAGATGGGCCTGGCGCCTGAGATGCAAAATCCAAACGTGAAACCATTAACTGTTTGAAGTCAAGGCATCTTCACTAGCTATACTAGTAAAGCTTAATATACAGCAGTTAATGCTTACAGTCACTAACTACTTTGGCTAGATGTCATCCAATGTACCTGTACAAGTTTTTTCAAGTATCTACATCCCTCAGATGCCATTATTTCTTAGTGAAAGCTATGGCCTGCAGAAACCATGAACATTTGCTTGTCATGTTGCTCAACCAAAAGAACTCAATTTAATAGCTGATGAAGAGCAGGATCTGTGATGCCCACCTGGACTCAAGCCATTCACCCATGAAAACTCAAATGTAAGTGTTTCTACTCAAGCACAAAGAATGCATGCACAGGCCTAAGAAAAATGATAACAAACCACACACTCCACAGCTTAATACATTTCTCAAGAGGCTGCAATACTGCTAGTTATGAGGCTCCCCTTTCCATCCTTCAGCAAAATTAGCCATCATCCCCAGGAGCTACAGGTTTGTCAGACTAGATTTGTCTCACCCATGAACGGGGTGAAGGGGTATCCGACAATTCAAAGTCATCATTCAAACACTGTAGGTTTACAAAAGCAACCACTGCTCATCCCCAGTACACACAACCCACACATCCTAAGTGGGCTTTAGAGAGATCTGAGTTGATACCTTTTCCTAGGTTTCCTGTTGGACGGATGCCACTCAGAACTTTTGTGCTAACAGCATGAACTTCACGCTTTCTTCCCTTGGCTGCAGTTTTTGTTCCGGCTGCAAGAACCCACAGTATTGAGACTGAGACACGTACTTGTCTAAGGCTTTGGCAGCTTCGCGTATGCCACGTGCTAGGCCATCGTGGATGAGGGCGGTCTTCAGCACCTCTTGTAGAGCAGTATTGACGTCCATTACACCTCCAGCAGCAATGCTGAAATGCAGACAGAATCGTGTTAGGATTGAGTACAGCCATCCAAATCCTTCAAAACTCAAGACTCCCGCGCCGCCGGCAAGAGGCCAACGCCCCAACTAGAGCCCATCAGCTCACCCTTCCTCGGCCATGGCGGTGGGTTACGGGTGAGGCCGAATCTTGAACGCACTGAAAAACAAGAAGAGCAGGGAAATGCCTCAGTTAGAATCCAAGCACTCCTCGGCTATCCGAGAGCAAAGCGCACAGGACACGCAGTCCACGCCGTTCACACTCGGCTCGCACTCACCCCGAGCCTCCGCCTCCGCGCAACTCGGCGGCGGCAGGGGAAAAGGCCGCTTGTGGCCGCATGACGGTATATAAGCGCTCCACGGGACGCGCCTGCGCATGTGCGACTCCTCCCAGTCGCGAGGTGGCCACCGCGGTGCCAGACTTTCCACTTCCGCCTCGGTGAGACCGCAGCGAACCTTCCTCAGGTCGAGTTTTCGGCACGCGCAGCAGGCATCACGGTGGGTAGCTTTTTCCTCGGGGGCGTGGCTCGCGGAGGCCCCCACGGACGCTGCTACGGAACGAGAGATGGGCCAAAGTACCCTTCGTGCTTGTCGTACTGTGGCTCCCCCCCGGTGCGTTACAAAATTAGGATTGTCTGTTATTTTATTTTTTTTTTTCTTTTTTACAAATCCTTCCTATGTCTCATCTTGTAGCTTCCTGTTGACAACACTGCTGAATTGGGCTGAGCGTCACCGGAGGACACATTTTTTTGTCCCGTTGTTTTAAGCCGTTCTGAGTGTGAGTGTGGGCTGTTTCGCAAATCCCACAGTGCTTGCAACGTGTTCTAGGAAGCCCTTCCAGCCCGGTCAGCTCCTGGTTCTGACGGCAGCCGCTTCTAAATGAACATTAGATTTGGACCCTGGATTCCTCCCCGAGTCGCAGCATTTTGCAGAAACTGGGATCCCTGAGGTGCATGTTAAATTCTCACGTGGGTCCAGGACGGCAGCCCCATACTGTAGGTGGGAAAAACCCTGGTATTTGAAAACTCCCACATTCCACCCAGGAATGGAATTCCAGAACCTTAAAAGCCGGTTCCCGCCCACGCCGACAAATACATTCTCATTTTGAAGGAATCACCCATTCTATTTCCAAAGCAAAAGCCGGAGACAACTCTCCCTGACGAAATCGCCAAGCCAGTCAGGGCTTCCGACGGCCAGTCCCGTGGGTACAGTGACCCTTGGCACGCTCAAGAAATGCTTATGGGTTTCTTGATAAAACTGCTTCTTAGCTTCTCTAATAAACGTTTGTGTTTCACCCTTAAAGCCTTAAGGCTTGCTTCCTTACCTCTATAAGAAAGTATTTGGTAGCAGAAGGTTGGTTTCTCTGGGATTATTTTCTGTCTGGATTGTGCTTTTTCTTTAAAGATGCAAGTCCACGGATACTTAGACGTGCCTGCATTTTTAATGATAAAGCACTATTTTAGCCAAAGATTAAAATAGCAGAATGTCATGGTGTTGGGGAGTGCGGGGATGATGTGAAAGGTAGAAGGTTTTTGTGTGTGTGTGTGACAGCATTTGAGAGAGCGCAAAGAGGAAGGCAGGCGTGCCCTCAGGCTTTTGGAAGTAACTTTGAAACATTACACAGTCGGGAAAAGAATGTGGCTAAGTAGAGTTTTAAATAATTTCCTCAGTATAAGGTTATTAAAAGTTAATGTGTCAAACCAGATGTGTATGGTACAAGCCTTTAATCCCAGCCCTTGAGGGACAAAAGTAGGTGAGTGGCTGAGTTCCCAGGCCAGTCGGGACCAAATAGTGAGACCATGTCTAAAACAAAAAAAGGAAAATGTTAATGTGTTAAGCATATGAGATTTCTATTCCCAGAAAAAAAAAGTTTCACAGAAGAGGATAATTGGTAAAGATGGAAAATGTAAATGGAGAAAATAACCAAGGAGGAGTGTATTTATACTAAGAAAAAAATGGCTAAGTGCTTTTAGCCAGTTTGGTGCCTAAATTTTAGGGCTGTTCCCAACACAGTAGCAACCAATTCAGTCTTGATTTCTCTCCAGACCTTTGATGTCAGCTGTTTGTCCTAATACTCAGCCATAATAAATGCCTTTCTGTCAGCAGTAAGCACCCCATTTTAACAACTGGAGTGCCTACCTTTAAATCTTGGTTACGTAATCATTTTAACACCCCAAAAGGACGTTCTTCATGGCCAGCCTTGTGAGGAAGGTTTTTGTTTTAGATATCGATTGTCCTTCACACTCTTTAAAGTTAGCCTCTCAATTTTAGGTACTGTGAAAGGTGATGGAAACTTTATGTAGGTCTTAGTGTCTCTTAGCACATTTTACCATTTACATAATGTATCTAAATATGGCCTAGAATGTATACATGCAAAACGTGTACAAAACATGGTGTGTAACCCTGTGCATGCAGATGGCTGCACTTGAAGTTTGAGCAGCTACCTGCCATCCCAGGATGGTGACCGGGAACAAATTATGAGAGCCCATGTCCAGGAATATGTTTCTCGTAGTCAGCCAAATCAACTTCAGAAAACAAAGCCAGTGACCACTAATCCTGAGAAGATAAACATTGTAAATGATGGGAAGGGAACATCGTGAACAGAGCTTTTTTTTTTTTTTTTTTAAGATTTTATTTATTTATTATGTGTACAATGTTTTATCTGTATGTAGACCTGCATGCCAGAAGAGGGCACCAGATCTCATTATAGATGGTTGTGAGCCACCATGTGGTTGCTGGGAATTGAACTCATGACCTCTGGAAGAAGAGCCAGTGCCCTTAACCTCTGAGCCATCTCTCCAGCCCCAAACAGAGCTTTTGTAAGCACACAAATGAGGGTTCTTCATAGTATCATGAAATAAATGTTGTATTAAAAAAGAAAAAAAATAAGCGGGGCATGGTGGCTCACGCCTTTTATCCAGGCACTTGGTGGGGCAGAGGCAGGGAGAGCTCTGTGAGTTTAAGGCCAGCCTGAAAGTGAGTTCTAGGACATCCAGGGTTATTACACACACACACAAAAAAAAACCCTGTTTTGAAAAACCAAGAAAAATAAATGAATAAATAAAATAAAGATAATTTTAAAAAGTAAGTGAGGCTGGGGCTGTAGGATAACACAGTGGTATTACACTAGTTAACTAGTTAGTACTAGTTAGGTTAGTGTGTGCCTAGCCCTGTTCAGGCCCTAGGGGCATACTCACACATGTACGCCCATACTATAATAAGACCAGGAATGAATAATAATAATTTCATTAGCATTTCCTAAATAAATGCCACCTAATATGCTAGCATCTTGTCATAGACAGCTGTGGTGCTTAGTTTTAAATGTTAAGGTACCATAGGAAGAAAAATGCCTAGGTGAAGTTGGCTTCTGAGAGACTGGCTCTCGGAGCTGCAGGAAGACGAAGACGCAGCCCACTGTGAGTGGTGCAAGTCCCTGCTCCAGGACGTATAAGACAGGAGAAAGTTGGGTGAGACAAGCGCCCAGCACTGGTGTGTTAATTCCTTCCTGGTTTTGACTAGCACTATTGTGCTTCAGGCCCTGCCTTGACTCCCATAGTGATAACGGAAACCTGGGACTATGAGCCAAATAAGGCCCTCTCTCCTCTAAGAGGCTTTAGGTCAGGCTGTGACAGCAACAGAAATGAAACTTGAACAAGACCCTATGTGACAGCATCTGTATTTGTCCTCTTTATTAAGAAAGATGAGAGCAGTGTGGTATAGGCCTGTAATTGTAAGAGGAGAAGTGTGAGCTGGAGGCCAGTTTTAGCCACAGAAAATCTGGGTCCAGGGGAAGTCCCTGAGAGTTCCAGGGTCTTTTGATCACAATTTGACAATAATACAGCTGCTCCTGTCTCACTGTGTTAAGCATTTGCATAGATGGGGGAAATACTACCCTCGGCCAGGAAGACAGAAATCTAGATTTCTGAATCACCTAAATGTAGATGTGGCTGGACAAGCATAACAATCATCCACACACAAAAATATGCTTACTGTCTGAAAACACAGAAATGCATTACCTCATACCCTGGCTAGCTCCTAAAGCTGAGAGTTAGCTTCATGCCTGCTTCCTAGCTCCTTTTTCTTCTGGTTCCTTGACTATCTTGGCACAGACCCAACCCTCCTTACAGGAGGTTCTTCTTGTGGGGTTAGTAGATCTTTGTGTCCAGTGGGATTTTGGTTTCCTTTTTGGTTTTGTTTTCTTAGAAGAATACCATGAGATCAGGGAGTCCACCTTTCTCCAGGTGACTTCATCTTAACTAATTATAAAGCACTATTCCAAATAAAGGTTCGTCTGAAGTGCTGAGGGTTAGGACTTAGGAATTTTCTTATTCCTTTTTTTCTTCTCTCTTTCTCTCTCTCTCTCCCTTTTTCAGTTTTGTCTTAGCAACTGCGGGCATCTATGGTATGCTATGTCCTCTCAATGTTCTGGTTCCTCTTAGCTGTCACTAGTGCTAGCCTTCTTGTGTGACCAGGTTGTAAAAGATCTCTTTATTTGTAAGTGACAAGCTTTGCCTTTTAAGTGCTAGGGGGAAAATGGTCACAGTGGGAAAAGTGAAAAATGCTGGGCATGGTGGGGCACACACTGTTAATCCCAGCACTGGAGATTCAGAGCAGGGGGATCTCAACGAATTCTAGGCCAGCCTGGTCTA